GGCTTTGCATGACATGGGTATACTTGCATACATGCAGGTAAAACACTCATACACATAAAATATAAATAAACGAATTAAATAAATAAATGAAAAATAACCTCAAAAGTCTAGAAATTGATTTCCCATTTAACCTAGCCATACTACACTCATGGGCATGGGCCCAAAAGACTCTATAACCTACCACAGAAATACCTGTTCATCCATGTTCACTGCTGCCCTTTTCATAATAGACAGGAACTGGAAACAACCTTGATGTCCATCAACTGATGAATGGATAATGAAGGTATGGTACATATACAAAATGGAATATTATTCAGCTCTTAAAGAAAACAAAATTATGAGATTTTCCAAGTAAATGGATGAAACTAGAAACAGTTATCCTGACTGAAGTAATCCTGACCCAGATAGACAAGCATCACATGTTCTCTCTCGTGGCTGGATGCTAGCTTTGCCATCTTAGGCATACATTTTCAATTTCAAAATCCAGAGAGGTCAAAAACTAATAAACAGCCATGGGCAGTAGAGGGGGAGGCTCCATGGGAGGGGAGGTAGAATGTAATTATATAAAGGGGTAATGGGAACATAGAGTAGGAAAGATTAAATGGGGTGGGGAATGGGAGGGCAGAGCAGAGGAGGGAGTATGGGGAGGGATAACCAAAGCGTTAGAAGAAAAGCCACATCGAAACCTACCATTACACTACAGAAGCTACTTCAAGTATGTGCACAGACGTTATAAAAAGAGATTAAGCTAGGAGTGTTGGTGCACACCTTTAATCCCAGCACTCAGGAGCAGAGGCAGTTGGATCTCTCAGGTATCTAGACCAGCATGGTTTACACAGTGAGTTCCAGGCCATCTGAGAAGGCCCTGTCTCAAAAAACAATTTTAAGAGATTAAAAGTACTTACTTTAGTATAGGGGGCCATTGCACCTCCTAGATACCATAGGTTATCAAAGTAAAAGTCTAATGAGCCTAGACAGGCCACAGGCCATGGGAGAAAGCCTCATACAACTATTCTGCTAAATAGACCATTAAACTGACTTCTAATGATCTGTTGTTATACCCATAGATTAACACATCTCTCAACTCTCATCAGAACAGCTTCCTTATACAGCAGATGGCAGTTAGCACAGAGAACCATGACTGAGCAACATGCAGAAAATAAAGGGCTACACAGTGCTTATCCCTGAGTGGGACATCCATATCAAACTTCTGCTTCCTAAGGCTCAGGGATCATTGGGGGAGGTGAAAGGAAAATTAGAAGAACCAGAGGAAATGGGTGACCACAAGGAAAGTTTTCCAGACAGCTGGTCAGTTCCTCAAACGAACTCACCGCAATGCTGACACCATGCACAAGCCCCACATAAGCTCACAGCATACAAAATATCAACATAGATTTGGTGAAGTGAATAAGCAGCCCCAACCCTATCTAAATAACTACTAGTAACTGATGACTGCTGGGAAGTGGAAATTCAGTCTCATATAAGGGTGAGACTCTTACTAGGTTGACCAGACTGAATGAACCCACACCAAAGGATATTTGGAGACACAAACCTGGCTCTCTCTCTCTCTCTCTCTGAGTGCAACCAATTATGACTAGTAATAATCAGATACATACAGATTAGAGACACATGTGCCAACATCTCAGCGTTATTAGCAAAAACAATGCGTCTAGTAGGACAGAACAATATATTCTAAAATGAAATGGAGATCTTTCTTAAACATTAAAAACTCGTTCAATTTTATGTCTTACAGGGCTTATACTGAGTTCAATATTGTATAACTCTATTAATTCAGCTGTGAACCTAGAACCTTACAGCCACTTGTGAAAGAGATGTACTCTTGCTCTGGAGTGTGTTACTGAATATGTTAAAGCTGTAATGAAATGCATCTTCTAATCATGTAGAACTTTAAAAGTTCAAGGGAATAGCAAGGCATGGTGGCACATGCCTCTAATCCCAGCACTCAGGGACAGAAGCAGGAGAATCTCTGTAAGATAGAGGCCAGCCTCCCCTACATAGCTAATTCCAGGCATAGAAAAACAAACATCAGAAAGAAAAGAACAAAGTAAAGAAAAGAAGAAAAGCCACTCAGGAATGCACTTCTGCAAGCAGGACAGTTCTACAGGAATGTGGTCCAGAACCCCAGCCCCTCTAATCCAGGTCCAAATGGGAAGAGCTCTAGATTCCGAACACCTAGTGGAGTTAGTAGTCTTTTCAAGGGAAATCTCCAAGGAGACAAAGTAAAGCTGAGAATATATCTTATACTGGGCCTGAGAATGAAAATGTTCCTGCTAATTATGGGAAAGATTTCAAGGAATCTTGTGGGTAAGAGGAATTGCAGCCCTATGTAGAAAAAGGAAAACTAATAGAAATTCCTTAAAACAAGTCGTAAGACAGATGAGATTAACCACAGTTTTTGTTTGGCTGAACAGGATGCAATACTATGGTGGTATAAATACTGATAAGTATTTTGACCATGGAGAGATTGTGCAGCAGATCTGCATTCCTCTGTGCTATAAAAGGGATGGATAGCTAGGATAGAAAAACAATTAATTTAAAAATATTAAGTAGGTGGGCTGAAGAGATGGCTCAGCATTTAAGAGTGGAGACTGTTCTTGCAGAGGACCAGTGTTCAGATCCCAGCACCAACATTAGGTTGCTCACAACTGCATGTAACCTCAAGGGAATCCAATGCCCTCTTCTGACTTCTATGGGCACTTCCACACAAGTGGCACACTTTCACACACACATATACATAGATAAAAAAATTTTAAAAAGAAGAAATAGGCTTACTGTTATTTTTAGCAAAGTAGCTAAAATAATTGGAAATGGTTGTTTTCTGTGGAATACATAATCAGAAAATGGAAAATGCCTTTATTTTCTCATATTTATAAGATAAGTATTATGTATGCATTCAAAAATGGAGAGCACAAAAATAATGTTTTGCCCCATCCCATTGCAGATATGCTGTTATACTGTCAATGCTTGTTTTTTTAATTCACAATATTGTTAGGAAGTTAGCTATGCTTACCATAATGTCATGATTGCTTCACCTCAGGTGACTTGGTAAACACCCACATTACATTATATATGCTCTATTTCCTAAGAAACCTGTGAGAAATGATTCTGCCTGGTCAGTTTCTTCATTTTGATAAGGCACAACTTCTAAAAACAGTTGACAAACACTGGTGCCTACAAATTATTTCACAATAATAATGTTGAATATCTCATGCTTTTTTTCCTGCACAAAGTTTTTTAAAATTTTTATAGAGCTTTTGTACATTTCGTAATCAAATTTAGAACCCCTCCCCATCTATGCCCCCTGACCCACACACACACCCCTGGCGTCGGACCTCATGCATTCCGCCATACATGTTAAGTCCCATCCAGTCAAGCATTTGTATCCAGATGTCCTTTGGTGCAGATTCATCCACTGGAGTCTAGTCAGCCTATCTAGAGATGGTAAGTAAGGTCTACTCTCCCTCACCTAACAGTGATCAGTCTCCAACAGCTCCCAACCACCCATTTCCCTGGCCACTCTGGGCCCTTGTCTCATTGAGGTGGCATGGGTCTTATGCTCCATGTCACCACTGTGGCAAGATCACATGCACAAGGTTTTATTGTATGAGCTAAAATTTTCTGGAAAAAGCCATTAGCTTTGGCAGAAATTGCAGTTTTGCTTCCAGTATTTAATGGGAATAGTTTGTGTTTTTTTTATCATTACTGTCATCTGCTTAATAATAAAATTAAATGATGTTGGGTGTCGTTTTCTTTGGTTAAGAAAAAGTGTACTTGGTCTATGAAGTGTTTTCATTAAGAATGAATGTTAAGGGGCTACAGACATGACTCAGAAGTTAAGAGCACTGACTGCTCTTGCAGAAAACCAGGGTGCAAATCCCAGCACCCACATGGCAGCTAACAACTATCACTCTAATTCCAAGAGATCCAATGCTCTCTTCTGTCCTCTGTGGGCACTGCACAATACCAGTGCACATATATACATGAAAGCATATCACTCATACACATAAAATAAATAAACGAAAAGAATGAAAACTAGTAACACACCTTTAATCCCAGCAGAGGGAGAGGCAGGTGGATCTCTATGATATCAAGGTCAGTCTGGTCTAGGTTGGCTGTGGCTATAGGAAGACCCTGTCTCAAAATTAAAAAAAAAAAGAAAGTAATGTTAAATTGCACTTACTGTTGTATCATTCATAAAGGGTTTCACTTAAGCAAGTGTACTCCATGCTCAACCAATCTATTGTTACTAGTTTTTTATTTTATTTATTTTATTTACGTGTATGCATATATTGCCTGCACCTATATAAGTACGCCTATGTTGTGCAATGCCCACAGAGGACGGAAGAGGGTGTTGAGTCCCCTGACACTGGAGTTATGGATAGTTGTTAGCTGACATGTGGGTGCTGGGATTTGAACCTTTGTCTTCTGCAAGAACAGTCAGTGTTCTTAACTGCTGAGCCATCTCTCCAGCCTCCTACCATTACTATTTTAAGTACATAGCAAAACATTTTCTAGATTATTATTTTTAGAGAGTATAGCTGAGGACCGTATTGTGAATAAATTTATGAATGATTTTAAGATTAAAAACTGATGTATGGAGATCATGGACAAGAGTGCAATTGTCAGCAGAGGCCAGAGGAAGATGTCAGATTCCCTGAATGGCCTGGAAGGGTAGTACCTGTTCTTAAAAACTGTGCCATCTCTCCAGCCCCAGATTTATGAATTTGTACAGCCACCATCTGAATGGTAGGTTGGTCAACTCTGCAATAGGAGGCTTGCCTAAAGGTTTTCAATTACTCTTACTAATTGAGCTACAAGAGGCCATTTGCTTGATTAATTCAAGGGGTTTCTTTAAGAAACAAAATGCATTCCCCTTATGAGCAGTTGTGAAGAAGCACCTGCCACAGAGACGTGGCATATTGGGGACTAGAGACTCCTTTCAGACCTGTGTGAGAATGTGCTTCCCTCTCTCCCCCCAGGGGCACTGCGATTGCAGGCATTGTGTTTGGAATCGTGTTCATCATGGGGGTCATTGCTGGAATTGCCATCTGCATCTGCATGTGTATGAAGAACAACCGTGGGACGAGGGTGGGTGTCATCCGAGCAGCCCACATCAACACCATCTCCTCCCATCCTGGTAAGCAATGCATCCCCCCTGAAGCAAGAGTCTCGTTTGTTAGTCAGGCTCTCTACTCCTTAGAGACAGGGAGAAACATTAATGACTCTCACTGAAATAATCTCCAGCCTTCTAGCATATTCCTAAGTAAATGTAGATTGAAGCTGTAGCTTTGAATAGAGATTACATAGATAATAGTTTTTTTTTTAACTTGTCCTGTGTCTGAATATAGTCATATTCTCAGTGGTTGTCTTGTTGACTACAATTGCCAGTCAGCCAAAATTAAGATAAATAGAAAATTCACACCCACTGTGTCTACCTGCCAGTGAATTCTGACAGGTAATTATGGAGAAAGTCGGCAATATGTCTCAATAAACCAGCATCTGAGGCAGTAGGTACATATGTCGTGAGGAAAAGTATTGAAGAAGGTTTTTGTAGTACTTATTAAACAAAAAGAACTGGTTTCACAAAATACTAAAATCCTCAACAGATGCACTAACAATTTGACAAGTATATGTTGAGACTCTCCTAAGGGGTCCTTCAATACATACATATACACACTTTGTGTATACACCATGCAACATAAAATGTGAGCAATTTCATGAACTCACAGCTACTATAACTACCTGCTCAATACCTGAATGAGATTAAGCAAGCCAAATCCCATCATAAGATGGGGTAGATGATCTCCAGGCCCTACCCCTTACTGAAGAGCTATTGTTAGTGTATAATTGTAGGGGGATGGAGAATCATTCCTTTTGGAGGATGTGCCCACTGGTAGGTTTCCCACACTGCAGTGGATGGCCTCATACTCACACACATATGGGCAGTACCAGCTGGGTTACCAAAAAGTGGATTATCAAAAAACAAAAAACAAATGAAGTTGGGACAAAGATGTGCTGGAGAAATACGGGGAGGGTTGGAGAAAGGAATTGAGGGTAGACATAATCATATTTCACTGTGTACTTGTATGGAATAAAAATTTTTTTAAAAATGCTCCACAATAAAGAAAAAGTGAGCAGTTTCTAAATATGCTACACCCTTAAGAGAATATTTTCTCATCCATATTCATGTCACCAGAGGAAAAGGAACAAGATGCTTTTCCTTGCATCTGCCCTGTGTGTCCACACTCCTAACACTTCCGTTCTCTTAATTTACTCTTTTCTTTATCTGCTTCACTCGAAGGAAGGAAGTTGTGATGTAGAGAAATCATTTGTCTGGCTGCTGTTTCTTCCTCTCCCATACCCACTCACTCTTGTGTCTTGTTCCACATCATCTGCTCTTTTCTTGGTGGTATCATTTGGCCCATTGTAAGAAAATACCATTCATATGCCAATGCTTCCAAAGTTATATATCTCCTCTGAAACGACTTCTCTGAATTTAAGATTTATTTCATCCCAGTACTTATCAGGCACCTCCACTGGAATATCTAATAACAATGTGGAAATTCCATGCCCATTTTTGATCGCCTCTTCTGTTTGCACTTACAACCTGTGTTTCTCATATTCTCTCCCTTCTTCCCTCACAACTTTTATTCCTGATCTTCCTCCTTTCTTTTCTCACAACCTTCAACACATAGGGTAATAGCATCTCTAGGTTTCTAATTGGTCAGACCAAAAGTTTCATTCCTCTCTCTCCCTCAAACCTATATGCCCAGGAAACTTCCTGGCAGCACCTTCAAAACACATTCAATATTTGACCACTCCTCATGAGCAGATGCTGTTATCTCCTTAGTGGGAGTCACCACACCATCTTTCACCTCCACTACTGCCACGATATCCTGGCATAGTATCCCTGGACCCTTGGTATCTCTCAACAGAAGTAGCCAGAGTAACCCTTTAAAAATAGATGTCAGTGGCACACGCCTTTAATTCCAGCACTCGGGAGGCAGAGGCAGACAGATCTCTGTGGGTTCAAGGCCAGCCTGGTCTACATAGGGGGTTTCAGGGAAGCGGGGGGTACAGGGAGACCCTATCTCAAAAAGACAAAAAAAAAAAAAATAGATGTCAGTGGCACACGCCTTTAATTCCAGCTCTCGGGAGGCAGAGGCAGCAAGAATGTTTGGGGTTCAAGGCCAGCCGGGTCTACATAGTGAGTTTCAGGACAGCTGGGGCTACAGGGAGACCCTATCTCAAAAAGACAAAAAAAAAAAAAATAGATGTCAGATTTTAGCATACTTCTGTGCTGAAAAATCTTCCAGTGAAACCCATTTCCCCTAAGGAAAACTCAAAGCTAGTGATTTCCCATTTTATATAATCAAAAAGAAGATTATCATCCTTGACCCCACATGAGCCTCACTTCTATTTCCTTTCCTCTTGCTGCTCTGGCTCTACCAAATTTTGTTTCTTGCTCTTAGGTGAACACAGGACGTCTCAGGACTTTGCCTAAAACCCTGAGTCCCTCACTTCATTTGAGACATTGACTGAAGGTTAATGTGACCCCACCAAAGCACCCAAGTCCTCCTTTCCTGCTCCACTTTCCTTTTGCACAATGCTTTTATCTCCTAAGAGACCATTTAGTTTACTGTTGATGGTCTCCTTCTAAAATATTGGATCTTGATCTATTTCTTTTATTATGTCTCCATCATAAACATATGAGCTGGGGCTGTGCCCACAGCTGGGCACTCAGCAAGCCTGGCAAGTGAATGAAGAGCTCAGGTCACAAGATGACACTCAGTCATAGGTCAGTACACAGGAAGCAGACCTGAAGTCCCATGTACTAATGTACAGTTTTTATACATTAAATGAGATTTATGCTTTCAGACATTCCTGTTTTGCTGAGAATATTATTGTGGATGGTATAAAGATACGTGGACTAAGAAAACCATAGATGAAACTGTTTTTGATTATTCACTCTCCATTTTCTGTTTGGGTCAATGCCTAATGTAAGAACATGAAGGGAAGTCAAGGAGGGGCATTCCCTGGAGAGAAGTCAAAGCAAAGGACCCTGTGTGCATTCCAGGTGCACACTTGCTCGACAAAAGAAGAAAGAAAAAGGTTTAATTAGAATTAATTTTAAGGCATTTTAAGATATTCTATGAAACACTATATTTGCCCTCTCTGTAAGTTAAAATTTTGAATACATTAAAAGATTTTTAAATGCCATTTTAATGAGAGGATATACATTTCCTGAGGGTTGGGGGGTGGGGTTGTGCCTAAGAAGATGCCCTCCAACCCCACAGTAGCATCATTTATCCTGGGGACTCACAGCAGTGTGATGCATTTGCAGTACATGCACTATTCTGGAAACCAAATAATGCAAGAAATGTAAGGACCCTTACATTGGAAATATTTCTAGTGCACAGACTAGGCCTTCTAACTCATAATTTGGTTAATTATTTCTGTTTCCTTCTCAAAGTCACTAATTAAGCTTTTATGTAAAGAATCATAAAACAACACATAACAGTATTGACTGCTTTTCAAAATCTTTCATCTGTGGAAATAGAAAAGTCTTTTACCCACATTAATTAATGAACCTTGTAATAACTGAGATAACAACTCAAGTTGTATAGTCTTACAGGCCAGAAGCCAGATAAACACAGAGAACATAATTTAGTGAAGGTTATCTCATCCCATAGTGAACATTATTACCTTATCTGGAAAGACAGACTCTCTTCTTCTGTGGCACCTGACCTTTGTTGGTCAATGACCTTCCCAAACTAAGCTTTTCATTCCTGCCACGTTGCAGGGAATGAATGCTTTTCCTCTTTAATTTATTTATTCTTAAAATGGTCATTGTGAAGATAAGAATTATTTGGAAAGTTACATATTTCCAGTATTTTCCAGAACTTCAAGGTAAATAAAGAAGAGTGATCATGTTTGGCTAATATGCATCTAAAAGAAAATAATATAGAAAAAAACATTACAAACTCTTAATTGTCAAGGTATGAATCAAATACTAAAATGTAAAGCATGAGATTTCACTGTCATTAAGAAAATTTGAGGTAACTTTATAGTCCCTTGAAGAAAGTGAAAGTGATTATAGATGATAGGTAGAAAGGTAGAGAGATGACAAATTAGATAGATAGATGATGATGATAGATAGATAGATAGATAGATAGATAGATTGATTGATAGATAGATAGATGATAGATAGATAGATAGATAGATGGTAGATGATGATAGGTAGAGATAGATAGATAGATAGATAGATAGATAGATGATAGATGATGATAGATAG